CCCCAATAGATCTGGAGTCACGAGTCTAGAGCCTTTAAATGTAACAGAGTAATATATTCATAGTAATAAAGAAGTCCAGGATAGGGAAAGACAAATAAAATAAAGGGGAGGAGTCGGGTCCTGCGGACGTCATGCAGCTACCTCAACAACTCCTGAAAATAAACTTCACGAAAACAGCAAACAGCTCCACTAAGTCTCCGGAGCACCTGAATCTGCACACATGGTGCAGGGAGTAAACTGAGTACTTCCAACTCAGTGAGTAATAAACATATATAATGGCTGAAAGTAAGAAATTCCGAAATATTACAATATAAAGCTATAATCAGCGATTCAACACATAAAACGATGAAACAACAACAATACCAGGACAAATAAGACAATTAGGTATAAATGCATGAATGCAATGCAATGCACATGACCGCTGCGGCGCGGAGCCCGATCCATTTAGGTACCCGCGCTCACTGTGGGGGTTCAGACTCCGGAGGGGCTCCTACAGCCCAAGCGCAATATCATCGTAACATTCGCTGCGGCGTGCAGCCCGATCCACACTCAGTCCAGGTATATATATGCATGCAAGCCAATCGGGCACAGTCAAATTATTCATTTTAGTTTCAATTATTAGGAATTTTAGAGCTAAGTGTTTAAACCTTTATTTATTTACTAACCATCGAGGCAGTGTCTAACTCAGGACTGATATCATGAAATATGCTAAGCATCATGAAAGCAGTGATAAGGATCCCTGAAGGATGCAAATGATAGGCACAAAGCCCCAAACACATTCATAAAATCCAAGTAGGATGATTACCAAACAATTTCTAGTCAAGAACACAGTACGAACATCAATCGGAACAAACTAGGTCAAAATCCCCAGTCACTATCGACCCCGCACTCGTCATAGAGTACGTGTCTCGCCTCAATATAGCGTCACAGTGTGATATACCGGGGTTTCAAACCCTCAGGTCATCATCTACATCTATTACTCACCTCAAGCCGGCCACAAGTCTAGCTCGCTATGCCTTTGCCTTTCGAATCAACCTCTTCGCACGCCGAATCTGATTAAAACCACAACGAATACATTACAATAGGCTAAAGAAACATAACCCAATCGAAAAGACTCGAAAAATACCAAAATTCACGAAGTTGGCAAAACCCGAGCCCCAGGACCACTTCTCGAAAAATTACGAAATTTACATCACCGGATTCCTCGTCTCGCCACGAGTCCGTACATATAAAATTTACCAAAATCGGAGTTCGTTTGACCCTCCAAATTCCATTTTTACATCCTAATTTCTCAAGCCCTAACTTACCCCATTTTGATGAATTTCCACTGATTTCTATGATAAATTTACCATAAACTCGAGTAATTAAGCCAAGGAACTTACCTCCGCTCGATTCTCAGTCAAAACCCTCGAAATTTCTTGCCCAAAGCTCTTAAGAAGGTTAACAATGGAGGAAATAATGAATGGGATCGCGGTTAAAATAATATAAAAACCCCTCTGGACGCCCAGGTTTTTCCCTTCGCGAACGCGGTCAACACCCCCGCGTTCGCATTGAACAAATTCCGTTGACCAAAATATTACCCTACGCGAACGCGATACTACAAACGCGAACGCGATAGTCCAGCTTACCCTCCTACGCGAACGCGATACTCCGCATGCGAACGCGATGAACAAACTAGGCTGGGCCCCCAGGACCTTCTACGCGAACGCGAGGCCTTCCCACGCGATCGCGATGGTCTAAGATTTTACCTTCCGCGAACGCGTGCCTACAGACGCGAACGCGAAGACCAATTTTGGTCTGCAACAGCTGGGCAATTTTCTGCAACATTTTCAAAGTTCAAAACCTCCGTTTAGCCATCCGAAATCATCCCGAGGCCCCCGGGACCTCAACCAAAGGCACCAACATATCCCAAAACATCATACGAACTTGTTCCCATCATCAAACCACATCAAACAACGCTAAAACCATCAAATCACATCGAATTCAAGCCTAAGTTTCTTAAAAACTTCCGAATTACGCATTCGATCAAAAACCCGACCAAACGACGTCCGAATGACCGGAAAATTTGCAGACATATCCAAAATCACCTAACGAAGCTACTGCAACTCTCGGAATTCCATTCCGACCCTCGGATCAAATTCTCACCCATCAACCGGATTTCGCCAAAATACTAACTTCGCCAATTCAAGCCTAATTCTACACCGGACCTCCAAAATCACCTCCGACCACGATCCTAAGCCACGAATCACTTCCCGAAGCTAACCGAATCACCGGAATTCACATCCGAGCCTTCTAACTAATAAGTCAACGTTCGGTTGACTTTTCCAAACCAAACCTTCCTTAAAGAGACTAAGTGTCTCATTTCCTATACAAACCAATTCAATTAAACTCTAACTCACCCGTTGCTGATAATAAAACATGAAGAAGCAATAAATGAGAAAAACGGGGCTGTAATACATGAGACGACGGGTTGGGTCGTCACAGAAAATGAACTCTGAAATTGTTGAAATAAATTGTGAGCTTGAAAAGATTTTTCATCCAATATTTTTCGATATAATGCCACATTTGCCTATTCATTTGGTGAATGAAATTAAGCTTGGGGGTCCATCTCATCTTCGTTGGATGTATCCCATTGAGAGGAACTTATGTAAATACAAGGCATTTGTTCGTAATCGTTCTTGTCTAGAAGCATCGATCGCAGAGGGATTTTTGGCAGAAGAGTGTTTGATTTTTTGTTCAAGATACCTACATGACAGTGTGAAGACAAGATTCAGTAGATACCCAATTGTAGATGATGAGTGCCCTCAAAATTTGTCATCCATATTCCCTGTTATAGGCCATCCAATTGGAAGTAAGAAGAAAAATACTTTTCACATGGACTACAGTTATGTTATGAAGCACATCGATATGCTCTGTTCAATACTGGAGATGAACAAGTGGAAAAGTTTATCGAGTAAGATAAATTATATTGCAGGGAACATAAGAATTTAATTGGTAATCGCAGTAGATCAAATGCATGGGAAAGAGCAAGAAATCATAGTCGGAAATTCAACAATTGGTTTGTTGAGAAAGTTAAAAATATTGAAGTGCCAGATTATGTAAGATGGCTAGCTAAAGGGCCTAAAACTATCGCCAAAAGATATACTGCATATTTCATTAGTGGATACTGATTTCATACCGTAGAACGAGATTCTCGATGCAAGACTCAAAACAGTGAAGTGACTTTATCAGCAACAACCGATAGCTTTGCTAGCTCTAGGGACCAAAATCCCATCGATGGTGAGGTTATCTATTATGGAGCTATTCAGGATATCATTGAGATTGATTATTGGGGTTTTTTTAGTGTTGTACTATTTAGATGCAACTGGTTTCGTAGTGAAATAGATGAATATGGGTTAACCCGTGTGTACTTTAAGAAATTATGTAGTACAGATGACCCTTTTGTGTTAGCATCACAAGTTTATCAAGTTTTTTATGTGGAGGATCCTGTTGAGAAAGATGTTTATTATGCAAAGAATAAAGTCCCTGTTGATTTATATGATTTAGAGGAAGAGAATTGCCCCAATATTGAAGACGCATTACGGAGGGAGCCTAATGATGACATTGGTTCCTTAAGCGGATTAATTGATGTTGACGTTGGATGCTCAAGAAACGATGTACCCGTTGATGTCGTTGATATTCCATCTAATGCACAACATTCAAATGATACAATTATAGAAACATCGGAAGAGGCGAATGAGTTTGATGATACTTATTGGGACTGGATGGAATCAGATGATTAAAGAAGAAACTTCTTATATTCTTTTAAATATATTCTGTTTAGAGTGAGTAATAATATTTTTTATCAATATTTTAAAATTACTCCTGTTTATATAATTTTAATTATTTTTTATATAATATTTCCTGTTGGAATGCATAACCATTGCCATTTCTCTTGCAAATTGTCTCCGTACTATCAAACACGCAAATAAACGCTAACATGCAAAAGACAAATCCTTCCTCATTAGATATTTCACCCCTTTAATGTTTCGATACAAATCTAAGTTGCACGTACTGTTTCTATGTTTTAACCTTAACTCTATGTCGTATCGATAACTGGAGTATATGGGCTGATTATTTACATTTTCAGGTGGATAGAATCATCCCAGGGACTTTACTATCCCAGGTGGATAGAATCATCCCAGGTAACAATGCCAAGATCTGTTCTGTTCCTCCGCTTCTGAGTTTGGTGTGACCTCTTCTCCACAGACAGGATTAGAGTTAGTTTCCTCACAAACAGGAATATTTTTTTCATTTGCTTCAGGTAGAGCTATGATCTGATTGTGTTCCTCTAGTTCCAAAGTCTTTGGTACATATCTTTGTATGATAGGTTTGTTTCTTGAAATTTGGTTGTTGCTTGTTCGGATTTGTTTTGGCTCCTCCATGCATAACCATCTTACCTTTTCCATTGTTCCTCATAGGTTGAGGAATAATGGAAAATCCCTCCTCTCGGTGCAGTTACCCCTTAGGCAATCTTTCAAAAAGACTAGGGCATAACATCTATCAAGTAAGGTTATGTTCTGGGCTGGTGCCATGACATTTTACTTTTAGCTGCTAGGCATCTTCAAATTAACATCTTGTCCGCTGAAGTCATGTTCTGCTCTAACTAGCCAGGTCCCAGAAGTTGTCTAGTTCTCTTGAAGTCCTATGAGGAAACAATATTTTTTTCCCTGTGAATGTTCCATTGCAGTCAAGGGGGCTCTGCTATTCAGTGTCTGCTGGAATTTCTTCGGAGGAACTTTCATATCATATCTTCTATTGTTGTTGTTGTTGCATGATGATTTGGGTCCTAGACGGGCAGGGAATTAGTAGGGGCCAGGGTGAACTCCATAGCTTGTTTAAGGAATTCGAAGTGCTTTACATGGTTAGGCTGGGGGCCAGTTAGTGCTACCACTGTTTGGATGTTCATTCTGCTCACATAGTTCTGCTTGTACAACACTCCTTTACTTTAAGGTAAATGGATGGAAACCGAGAAGGACATAGTACCATGTGCTCTTTCTCCTAAGGTATGCAATGAGGTCTAAGTGTATGTGCTATCAATTGAGCTTTTTTGGTCCGAGGAAGCCTATCATATTTTCTCTGTTTGGAAGGAAGGATATCAGCCTTGTACGAGATAACTTATTTCACCAAATAGATAAAAAGAAAATGGACACCCAACTTATAGGTTTTGCTAGTACATATCTTTCAGGAATTTCTATCAGGTTGGTTGCATCTTAATTCTATATCAGGAATTATATAATTCCAACTCCAGCATCTAAATAGATGTCAACTCCAACTGTTCAAGCATGATGTAGAAGCATGTTCTATTCTTTCTTTAGTAAATTGAAACTATTATTTTTATGTGAAAGGCTGACTGATTACAGAAAAGATCAAGGTAACATAGACTTGTGAGGTGTATACAATGCATTATTGTTAATGCTTTGATAACTTATTTCTTATTTAATTTTCTGATTTTGACAGGAATTTGAATAGTCATGAGTCAGGAAGGGAACTCAAGTAAAAACAAAAAGGCTAAAAATTGCATTGCAGCCGGATCACTTGCATCTTTGTTGAACCAAAAGGTTTCATCGTTGAAAATAAAAAGAATTGTTCAAGCTACAAGGACAAATGACAAGCATCAACTGAATTCAATTGAAAAACAACTTCCGCAATAAGAAGCTCAAGTGCAAGAACAACTGTTGCAACTACCTTTGCGTTCTGCTTCTCCTCCAGCACAAATTGTACATGAGCAAGTGCAGCAAAAGTCACTGAACTCTACCTCTCTTGCATAACAAGCATTACATGAACAATTACAGCAAAAGTCACTGGATTCCACCACTCGTACTTCACAAACGGTACGTGAACAATTTGAGGATTCTTCCAATCATGAAATAAACGAACAATCCGAGGAACAAGGCAAGAACATATAAATTTTATTCTGTTAAATTAACAAATAATATTGATTTTGGTGATTATTCTTACTTAATATTAATGCAGGTCCTTCTGCCGAAAAAAGAAAAAGAGGAAAAACTTTGATGCCAAGTGTTCATGGTAGGAAAGAGCACAAGCTAATTGTGGTAAACGAGAACAATCAACCCATAGGTCCTACTGATGATGTTGTAGCAGAGTTGGGTAGCTTCCTCGGTACATTGGCAAGGAATGCGGCCTTTTGTCCTCTTAATGTGTTTAATTGGAGGAAACTTCAAACAAAAGAAGATATGTGAAAATGTATCAAGGTCTGAAGTTTGCAATATTCTGTGTAGATATTTCAAATTTTTACACTAACCTAACTGTACCTTTTGTAGGGAAAATATGACATTCCTGATGCTTCAAAAAAGTGGATTTTTGAATCAATTCAAAATGCTTGGAGAAAGTATAAGAATCAATTATTTAACGACCATTATAAAGCCTATGAGAATGACGAGCTTCGAATGGAGAAAAGGCCAGTTGATGTTCCTGAATCTCAATTTAGGGATCTTCTTAATTATTGGAACTCTGATGCCTACAAGGTAAAACTAAGTACTGTCCCATGATTTGCTGAGAATGTCTAGTTTATGTTTAATTAGAAATCACTTAACTCTGTATTCATTGGCTGATTTGCAGAAAATGTCCCAAACAAATACCGAGAATCGCAAAAAGTTAAAATATCCACACACTGCTGGCAAAAGAAGTTTTGCTCGAATATGCGAGGTTTGATATTTTCTTTCTTATTATTGTTTTAAATATGAACTTATTAACTTTATACCACTTTTTATATAATCAGGAAAAAAATAAAGAAACTTCTGAGCCTCTATCAAGCAAGGACATCTTTGTGGCCACAAGAAAAAGAAAATCTGATCGAGTTTACAAGGCCTCGTGCGCGGATACTCTTAATAAAATTGTACGAGTTATTAATTTAAAGTTTTTTGTTATCATTTGTCTGTTCTTAGTTATTGACTCTGTTCTTAGTTATTGACTCAGTGTCATATACTTTCTGATTTAACAATGACTCAATTTGGTCTTATAGGCTGAAATGGAAAGAATACAACCAACACAAGAAAGTGAAGATGGCAGTCAATCGGTTGATGCATTTGCATCAGTCATGGGACCTGAGCATCCAGGTCGCCTAAGATTGTATGGACGTGGGGTTACCAAGACTTCCTTAAAAAGAAAAGTGGGAGATTTGGGACCCTCTACTGATGAGGTGATGCAGCAAAAAATGGAGGAAATGGAAGAAAGGATGCAGCAAAGATTGTAGGAAAAGTTCAATGCACAAAAAGATGACATGGAACTACAAGTTGCAGTTAACATCATTTCACAACTTAAACTTCTGAATCTAGATTTACGGGTTGATCCCAGCATGCTAGGTTTCAATGCTCGTTCATCTGGAGAAGCTTCCTCTGCACAACAAGCTGCTGTGCAACTAACCAATCGCCTATCTGCTGGGAGTAATAATCAAGGTCAGTACGTCTATCTTTGTTTGTTTCTTGCTTTCTTCTTCTCCTCCTTCTGCTTCTTTTTTAAAGTTTCACTTAAACTTATTCGGAGTTGACTGTTTTATCTCAAATTAGCTATAACCTTTTATAAAGAGAATAATTGGCTTATAATATCAACACATGTTGCTTCCTCTTTATCTTGGTTTTCTGTACAAAGTCATCTATTGATTGGCAAAAGCAATACTATTATTTTATAGAAGCACCATATCTAGAGAAGTTCCCACTCAAATTCAGAATAAAGATTTGGAATTCATCTTCTTATTATTCTTGTCTATTCTTCTTGCCTGCATTTCTGGTTAGTGTATTTTCTTGATTTGGAATTTATAGCATTTTTGTGATGTTTGAATATTCCAAGTTTCTTGTTTTTGCTGATGATTCTTCTATTCTATGACTACTGTGTTTTCTGTCTATGTTTAAGATTCTGCAATGTATATTCACCATTTTTTGTATTCCTTGGTTTATGTTAAGACTATTGGTCAGTTAAGACTATTGCTTTATGTTTCCTTTTTCTGTGAGCAACACTATTGTGGGTTGATGATATAGCAATTGATGTAATTTTCACCGCTTGCTGATATATTGGATTTCTGTAGTTAGACAAGTTTGCTCTGAGGGGTTGATGGTTCAAGCTGCCTAAATTAATTAATCAGTCAACTACGTTTCAATTACAAACTAGCTATGTCTTGTGGTCATGACTAGTGTTAAGTATAGATTTGCTTTGCCGTTTTGCTTTCCAACTCACTATTCTGTTTTGCATTTTATAGCATCTTGGGATTTTATCCCTCTAATATTCCAATTTAGGACACTGATCATCGATACTTCTTTTTTGAGGCTTTTTGGGATCTTTTTGGAAGATCTTTGATTTTGGTTGCATTCTTAATTTTGAAACTTCTTGGTGATAAATTCCCTTGTTGAACAACTTTGTTGATTTCTTTTTGAACTTCCTGATCTTGCCTTTGTGGGCCAGGAGTCTGGTTAAGAACTTCAGTAGTTTCCTCCGAGCTTGTAATTGAAACTTGTTGTTCACTGTTGTACCCAGTCTCATCCTCTTCAACGTTCTATCCTGCATTCTTTTCTTTTTCTTAGCTTTTTTTCTAGCTCTGGAGCTTAGTGGGATGTCTTCACTGTGAGCTGGTAAAGTATCTTGGCTGGTTTGGTTTTGGGCTAGCCTATTACATTGGATAGAGTTGTTATTGCATTGTATAGCATCAGGAGCAGTACTGCTACGATCCATGTGAGCCTTATTTTGGACATTATCAAGATTTGGTATTATATCAGTAGGTTTCTCTTGGATCATGGTAGTTCGAACCTCCTTGTTCTGGAAATCAATCTCCATAGGAATTTGTCCAGCGATATCCTTTATATCATCACCTCTGTTCTGCATTTGAAAATTACTAGGTGATTCAGGTACTTGCTCATCTATGTCCCTACTGGTATCTTGAGTAGAGATAGGGCGACTAGACACAATTATATCCTTCATACTGCTCTCTATGGTTGTAGATGGAATAGTCTCCATATTCTGATTTTCAAATTTCTCAATAGTTTTTGTAATTTGTATCTCCATAGAACCTCCAGTTTCATCAACCTTCTCAGGAGTAATTGTAGATCTATTCTGTTCCTCCGCTTCTGAGTTTGGTGTGACCTCTTCTCCACGGACATTAGAGTTAGTTTCCTCACAAACAGGAATATTTTTTTCATTTGCTTCAGGTAGAGCTATGATCTGATTGTGTTCCTCTAGTTCCAAAGTCTTTGGTACATATCTTTGTATGATAGGTTTGTTTCTGTTTTGGTTCTTGAAATTTGGTTGTTTCTTGAGGATTGAAATCTTGTAGTTGCTCAACAAAAGTGTTGGTATCAGGTGGGTGGTGGGTGGGATGGATAGCACTCGCCGGAATGGATCCCGTCAGCGCGTGAACTGCCATGAGATATGTTCAGAAGTTGGAGATGTGAATTGCGCGTGGGGCGCGTTCTATATAACGGCTAGTTTTTTTTCCTGAGTACTACTCTTTTCACTTTTTAACTTGGTTATTCATGCTGTTGTAAGATACCCTTTTGACTGGCATCTAATTGTAATATATTTAGACTTCCTATAATTCAAAAATTTGAAAGAAAAAAGGTCATGCTGACTTGTAGCAATTGTATAGGCTTTGCATATGTTGACATGACACATTCTAGTACATTTGAAAACTTTGTGCTTTATGCATTGTTTCTGGGCCATACCCATTCTTATAATGATAAACCAACTCTTGAAGGATAATGACTTTATTTATCCTCTTTTGTAGGTGGAGCAATTGAAGAAAGGGAAGATGGAGATTGTGAAAATCTAGACCTTACTTAAGAACTTTGAATTGTTATCCATGTTCTAGGAATCTTTTGTTATCAACGTTTGAAACTTACTCTAACTCTTGAAGTGTTGAAATGTTAAACTTATGTGATTGAGTTAAAATATTTTAGTTTTATGGAGACAATATAGATTATGAAGTATTTTATCTTTTTATTTATATAAATTTCAGGTTATTACAAATTTTATATATCTAAATATTCATTTACAGGCAGGGCTTAATAGTCTAATAGAACCGTTCCAATAGGTCTGACAAATTGCTCCAAAATAGTCTAAAAGAACCGTTCTAATAGGTCTTCAAAACCGTTCCATTAGGTCTTACAAATCGTTCCAAAATGTGCAACAAACTGATACAATAGGTAGTTAAAATCGTTGCAAAAGAAATAAAACCGTTACAGTAGCGTAATGAAACCATTAGAATATTTGTAAATAAACGTTGCAATAGTTTACATAACCGTTGCAACAAATTATATGGTAACGTCTGCCAAACGTTGTTGTAAACTCTATGGCAACAGTTTTTAACCGTTACAACTGGAAAGAAATACTCGTTGCTTCAGACAGAGGAACACCTGTTAGCGATAGATAATGTGTATTGGCGGATGCTGTTCAGGAAGATGATGGGCTCATCCACAGCTTAAAGTAATAAATTTAGACAAGTTCTGTATTCGTACAATCTGGTCATCAATATGAAAACTGCTTTAAAACTAAACTGTATTGTTGAAAATCATAATTGAGTGAGGATCGTTTGTTGAGTAGACTACTACAGAAAAGAATGAGAGCT